GAAACAGGACGGGTGGGCGGGGCTATATTTGTCTTTTTTTTCTTAATATACATAGGCATCTTTTCACAACAAAAAAACTAAAACATGGTTAAAATTGTACATTTTTGAAAGGAAATATGGATTTTGCAATTATGGGGTGCAGCCTAATTGCAAAAGCGATATTTCCTTCTTTCCCATTTTAAACATGTTTTAAGTTTCATGTCGTGAAAAGAAGTCTACACATATTAATTAAAACATAAAGGCAAAATGTAAGCCCGCCCACCCGCCCTATCTCAATTGTGATGATTTTTTTTATTCGCCGTGAACCAAGTGGGCGGAGCTTAACTACAAATACTTATTTCAGACATGGATTTTTGAAAATCTATCTTTGATAGAATTCACAGAATAAAATCCATGATCATCTTTTTTATTCCACTCTAGATATATCAAAATGGGATATTTTAATGGCATTCCACATCGAAAATCAATTTTTTTTTAACTTTGAAAATATACTTCAGAGTCTGTATAGAAAGTTTTAAAATGAAAATAATATTAAAATAAAAAAAAATCGACTAAATAAAACAAGCAATTCAAACGTCTGTGAAGATAATATTTTTCGTGTTCTGTTTCATCTTTTACCAATCAATTCCATAATACACATGGAGTCAGAAACAAAAGTTATAACATATAGGTCAAATAAAAAAAAATGTTCAAGATGACATTAAATTTCAAGGTTTACGTGTAATTAAATTTATAAATCTCTAAATTATCAGTTTATCAATGTAAATTAAAAAAGTATCTACTAATTCTGGTCAATTTAACTATAGTATCTAATAATTAGGAACTTTAAACATGGTTAAAATGGTACATTTCCATTTGGAAATATGGATTTGCCAATTATGGGGGAAGCCTAATTCCAAAATCGATATTTCCTTATACAAGAAGTTAAAAATATGTCTTTGAGTATCGTGTTGCTCAAAGAACACTACACGTATTAAGAAAAAAAGGCGAAATATAAACCCCGCCCACCCACCCCATCTCAATTGTAAGGATTTTTTTTATTCTTAGAAATCTTAAAACACATTTAAAATGGTAAATTTTTGTAAGGAAATATGGATTTTGCAATTAGACTCCGCCTCTCGATCTGACAACGAATGAAAAATTCATTACAATTGAGAATTAAGATCAGGGCCGATATGGATGAGGCCTAATCTTTGGCTTTATTTTTTTCTTAATATACTTACATAATATTCTTTGAACTACATGATACTCAAAAACATGTTTTTAGTTTCTCCTAGAGGAATAAGGATTTTGCAGTTAAGCTCCGCCCTCTTGGCTCACAATGAATAAAAAAATCATCACAATTGACGTAGGGTGGGTGGGCGTTCCTACATTTTGCCCCTTTTTTCTTAATATACATAACCATCTTTTCACAACAAGATACTTAAAAAAGGTATATTTTTGCAAGGAAATATGGATTTTAGAATTATGGGGCGAAGCCTAATTGCAAAATCGATAGTTCCTGATACAAATTTTCCATTTTAAACATGTTTTAAGTTTCATGTTGTGAAAATACCTAATTCTACACATATTAACACAAAAAGGTAAAATGTAACCCCGCCCACCTACCGTATCTCAACTGTGATGATTTTCAAGGAATACTATATACATTAAGAAAAAAAGGCAAAATATAAACCCCGCCCACCCACCCCATCTCCATTGTGATAATTTTTTTTATTCTTAGAAACCTTAAAACACATTTAAATTGGTAAATTTTTGTAAGGAAATGTGGATTTTGCACTTAGGCTCCGCCTCTAGGTCTGTCAACGAATGAAAATTTCATTACTATTAAGATCAAAGCAGATATGTGTGGAGCTTAATATTTGGCTCTAATTTTTTCTTAATATACATAGTATTTTTGGAATAACACGATACTCAAAAACATGTCTTATACAAGATAATTTCTTCTAGAGAATTAATAAGGATTTTGCAATTAAATTCCGCTCCTTTAGCTCACGACGATTAAAAAAAAATCATCACAGTTGAAATAGGGCGGGTGGGCGGGGCCTATATTTTGCCTTTTTTCTTCTTAACATACGCAGCTGTCTTTTCAGAACAAGAGCCTTAAAACATGTTTAAAATGGTAAATTCTTGTAGACAAATACGGATCTTGCTATTAAATCCCGCCCCTCGATCTAACAACGAATGAAAAATTCATCACAATTGAGAATTGAGATCAGGGCGGGTATGAGTGGGGCCTAACATTTAGCTTCATTTTTTCTTAATATACATAGGTAGTATTCTTTGGACAACACGATACTCAAATACATGGTTTTAATTTCTCGTAGAGATTTTGCAGTTAGGTTCCGCCCTCTTGGCTCACGACGAATAGAAAAAAATCATCCCATTTGAGACAGGGTGGGTGGACGGGGCTACATTTTGCCTTTATGTCTTAATATGTGTAGACTTATTTCGACAATAAAAAACTTAAAACATGTCTAAAATGGTAAATTTTCAAGGATCATCTCGATATAAGATTTTTTAGTGATGAAGGCTTGGTTTCTTTTATCAGAGTATCTAAACTCGAAAAATATGAAGACGGAGTTCATATCAAAACATGCTGAAGGAATTAATTGATCAGCTTGATTCTGAACTATTGCAGAATGGATATTGTCAGCATGACGGCGCAACAGCTCATACAGTTCAAACAAATTTGAACTTTTCTAAAGGAATTCAGTGGCGACCGTTTAAATATAGCTCTCACACTAGCCACATCTATCCACCTCGTTTACCTGATTTGACACCTTTGGATTTTTTCTTGTGCCCAACTTTGAAAGCACAATTTTAAACAATTAGTGGATAAAAATAAATTAAGACCAGAAATGAGAATCATATAAGAGTGTGAAAGTGTCAATTTGTCCCCTGATCTGTTTGCATGTTCTGCTCATTTTCAACCGAAAGAATTTAAAACTTATCAAAAATTTGTCTTTGTAATATTTATGGGGGGGTGTATGCCAACTGCGCCGACTAAACTGTCCGCAGAGAAGTATTATACTGCGCCCAAAAATAATCCGACAATAGTTATTTAATCTACTTAAGTATAAAAAATACCAATGGCTATACAACTAACAAGGAAGTATAAAAAAAATATTACAGGCTTCGGGTTAGCCAAAAATATCAAATTTTTATACCTACTAGAATGTCATGTCATAAAACAATATTTTATTCTTATTCTTGTTTGTCAAGTGGTCTTGGTTAAGATTTTTCTGATAGAAATAAACTTTCTTCACTCCGAAATTTTTAATAATAATTGTACAAAATCGGACGATTGATGCAGATGAGTCCTATACTTTCTGCAAACGAAGTTAAGTCAGATTAATCGGCGCAGTTTGGTTTTATCCTCTACCACAGTTTTACTTACATTATTTTTAGAAATGTCAAGTCTAAAGTCAATAAAATAAATACATTACGAGAAAAAAATCGACGGCTATGGCTATGATAAAATTCGCAGACTTTTACAGAACCATTTGCTCTATAAAATGTTTCGTGTGGTATTTTTGAAGTGACACGCAATATCTCACTTATTTATGTAATTTACGATAAGGAAACAAATTGCACAACCGAGGAAAATTTTTTTCTTGAAGTAAGTAGAATAATTTGATAGAAATTTTTCTCGAAAGTTTCTTTTAAAATGTTCGTTTATTAAAAGCGCTTTACATACAATCAAGAAATTATTTCACGCCCACATCGTCAGTGGTAAAACATAATAAAATAGAATCAAAATGTCAAGGAATAAATGAATTTATTTATTGCATTTTTTGCATGATTTTAAAAAATAAAATGTCATGTTACCTTCAAATGTATATATTTTCAAAAACGTACTGGTTTTGAAAATAAACTAATTTATATTTTAGTGTTTTATCCAAATTGTGTTCCAATTTTTTTTGCGTTTACTGTAACTATTATACTGTATAATTCAGGAAACAAATCTAGCAAAAAAAATCGCAATAAATATTAAATAAGGTAGCTGCAGTAGAACAACCTTAATAATTGCTAAATTGCCATTAATTAAACGGAATGATTTGTAAATAAAATTGTAAGAGGTGAACTGGTAACCTATAAAATTATGCTAAAATTTAAACTGGAAATATGGAGCAAACTGACTTTTCGGTTTATTTTTTAATTTTGCCTATACTCCAGTATTTTACATGGAAGTACTACCATAATCCAAAAGAACTAACATCGGTATCCAAGTGAATGCAGCGTAAAACTGAAAGTAAAATCATGTAGTACCCTTATGGCAAGTCAAAAAAATAGATACCTGAGTACATACCATTTTAGTACATGTTACCATATAATCGATACGAAAAACCCTGCAGTAGACAATTTTTAAAACAATACTATTGGCACTGCAGTTATTTGACACTTTATTTGACAGTTATTTGATTTGACATTTTACCTAAAACTGCCAGGGTAGACTCGGTCTGTTTTCAGTTTTCAGAAAAAATTGACTATTTACCTTTGCGAGTTTTATGTTAACTTCCCATTGCATTACAGCTTTTGTAAATACATTTTTACAGTAGAGTGAATAATTTTAAACTCAAAAATTCATGTCAAAAAATTAAAAAAAAAATGCAAAAAAAAAATTCTGTATGCATTTTAATAATTTTTTGTTCATTTATAAACTGTACTTAGTTGGCTTCATACGGATATATTTCCACATTATATTTCTGAGATACCGTGACATATGTACATTAGTAGGTATTTACTAACAAATAATTACTGCTACATACAATACCTACTCTCCGAACAACCACACGTGCTCACCCTCCCCCCCCTCACTATACCCAGTGTCCAAAAACTCTCATTACACCTAATTACCCCTCCCACATCTCTCGCCGCCCCACCCGCCTCGCGTGCCGCCATCCCCTCTCAATCAATTTAAATTAATACAGCAAACACAGCCGACAAATAATATAATATGCGAAAATCACGCCAGTCAAAGCTGGAGGTCATCAATTCCCAGCTCGATTTGGGTAATAAAGAGTGGGCGGAGCCGCCGCCTCAGGCCACGCCCCCTGTTGCATGGTCCCTTTCAACCAACACTTCGAACCTCAGTCGACCAGAGCCGCTACGACAAGCAACACCACGCTCCACCAGTGTTGTAGAGTTTTGATGAGTGAGTGCCAAAGATGGAAGAAACGAAAACAGAAATCAAGTCGAAGATCTCCTTCAGCGTGGAGGCGTTGTTGTCGAAGAAGGACGACGACGAGGAGGAGCACAGGCTGGACGCCAGTAGTGATCACTTCGACGACGACGACGAGAATATCACAGTAGACGATGACGACACCGACGGCCGGGAGAGTCTCAGCCCTAATTCCGCACACACGGTGGTCATTCCGCAGCCCTTGCACCCTTCTGTACCTAGGCTAGGCCCGCCGCAGTGGCCCTTCGCGTGGGGGTCGCTGGTGAGGTCCGCATCGCCGCAGAGTAAGTAGGAGTGTGTGGTGCAACCCACTTTTGATGCTGCATGCGACGGAGTCGCGGAGTGCGACTATAGTTTTTCCTGAGTTGTGAAGATTGTTGTGTTATTTTGAAAAGATCTACAACTGTCGTAGTTATTTGTTGTTCCTTTATTACCTATGTTACTTAAATAATTAATTATCAAGAATTATTGTAGTATGTTAATTGTTGTTTGTTTGCATAATTTGTTATAGTTTTTGGTTTAGTTATCTGTTCAAAACCATAAAACAAAATAATCATCAGATTAGGATATAGGTATATACAGACAACATTAAAAATTCTGGAATGGTATTTACTATTTATTATGTGATGGTCTCAATCAAGGTTTATACTGTTATATTTTAGGTTTGCTATTCTTTTTCTAAAAATTTTTAATTTAATTATAAGCTATATAATTCGTATATTTTGACTTTACACTTCATAATATACGGAACTATAGACTTCCCGTTTTTATTTCTTTGTTGACAATTTTATTCGACAAATTAACAAACAATTAATTATTTTAAAACTCAAATGGAAATAAAATTATTGTGCAAATGACTTAAAGCCAACCAAATTTTATTTGTTCTTCCTCATATGTATTTTAAAAATTAAATGTTATTTTTGATTTTTCGTATATAGGTATATCACCAAAATTACAACTGAAGAATATATTCTGCAAATAAATGATTTCAGAAAAAGGGGAATAATTAGTTTGGCTAATAAATAAATTAAAATAAATATTCTTAATGTTCGAATCTGTTAAATATATATAAGCAGATACGTAATATTATGGAAAACGGCAATTTTTGGCCAATATTTTTGCTTGTTCTTATTAATAATTAATTGTGACGTGTTAATTCTAATAATTATCTACTTTTAAAAAAACATGTACAAAAAGACGCAAAACAAAAAACGTGATAGAACTTTTCGAAAGAAAAAAAACTATATTTACTCTGAAATAAATTTTTTAAAATTTGGCTCAAAAAATTCATTACAGATTAAAATAAAAATTTATTCAGTAACCTCATCCGGAAATCCGATGACGTCACACAGCTTTTGTTATTAAACAAGTAAGTTCCAGTCAAATAGGTTTGCGAATTTTTTATTGGCTTGAATTCCATACTTTATCATCTATAATTAGTTCTCCTCAAATATTCGGTATTTAATTAATTACACAAGTTTAATATTAATAGAACAACCACAAAAAATTAAATTATTAGCACATTGAATAAATTAAAATTTATATTTAGTTGCTTATGAAAATTTATTTATAAGTTTTATAACCAGAAAAAAAAATAACAAAAATAGAAAAGTATATCACTGGTAACACATTTTGTTGGTTTTTTTAATATATATTTTGTTCTGTTTCCTCTTGACGTTCAATCAAGGATTATCCTAAAGTGTAGAAAGTTTTTTCTAAATTCTTCATTTTACACCCAAAAAATTATGAGATACATATTTTTTTATACTAAATACGAATAACCAAAAAAAGCAAACTGAAAAAAAAATTAAAAGAGGAATTCTAACAAAGATTTATATGTATATCATCTGGGAAAAAAAAGAACAGATATACCCAAAAAAAGACAAATACATAAAAAAATTACTCACAACCATAACAAGAATTTTTAAATGAAAGACAGAAATGCTGTCCTAAATTAGTTTTTCCCGCTAAATTAGAAAAATATGCGTTTTTACGACTAAAAAATACTCCTCTATTCTGTAAAAATTCCATCAATTTTACACAAAAATTTTTTGAAATGTTCACAAATTTGAATCCAAAAATTAAGCTGCAAACAATGACTCTCTTATGAGTTGAGATATCATATCATAAAAAGTAGGTTTATTCGCAAATTTACAAATATACAAACATGAATTCAAGAGTGTAATGATGGTTGCCACCTCTGTTCAATGTCCCAAATTTTTGTTTTTCTAAACACAATATAAGATTCTTTAAAACAGAGAAATCTCACACTGCTTAGGTTTTCTGTCTAACACTTGGCACTGAAACCATTAAAAAGTGTGCCTTTTTTTCTCAAATCGATATTTTGGTTAAAAACAAAGCTACGTCGTATTTGAATTTTTGTCGTAACTGATTTTCCGAATACTCATTAAAATCCCCATTAAATAATTATTTGTCGGAATATTAAAAGTGTTTATACCGATAATTTAATCTTACAAAATGTGTGATGACAAACAACAAAATTTATTTACAAGGAAGCCCGAAAACCGTATTTTTAATAAAAGAATATTTTGTTAGTTAACCGTAAATTAAAAGGATAAGATAAAATGTGAAAGGTTCATCAGCACAAACACATTAAAACATAATAAATTACCAAAATTTTTCCTAATAAGTTACTCTTCCACATTATCTGCTTTATCGCTGGTTCTGATTTATCTAAATTATGTAAATGAGTTTATTAAAGCCACGATAAAACACAACTTCTTGAATAATTTCCTCTTCGTACTCGAACCCACTGAAAAAAAAATCAGCACGTTCACAGTGGCTCGAATGTGAACACGACTTCCACTTTCCACAGCATCTCATCTAGCAAAACTACTTCTAGTTCATTTTCACGCAGCACAATTGTCCAATCACAGCCACATTTAATGCCTGATTTATTCCCTCCAACAACACGTATTGATTTATCCCCATAAATAATGCCATCGTAGCCCGTTTTTATCTGGACGCACGCTTGTTATAGCAATCCAGAGCCGGTACGATATTAATTAAATCTAATTGGAAACGATTATTACGGTATATGTGCGCAATGCATGTTAAATTTATTTGCTATCTTGTTTAGAGTGGTTATTACCACTAGTTTTTCCTTTTTTCCCATATGGAATTTAATTAAACGGTCGAGGTATCAATAAAATTAATTTTATTGAAGTACGTAGCGCTGCTTCGTCGAAAAATCCAGGCCCGCGATGACAAGCGGAAATTGTGTCTTAATTTATTTGAATGGAGGTGGTAATTGACCTGTCATTTTTAAGGAAATTGGATTTTGGCGCGCTTGGCGGTGCAGACCCAACCCCACTACTTCCCCGACACTTAGAAATCTTTTTCTTTTCCAGCCAGTATGACCAGCGCCCCCCCAGGTCCCCCCATCGTGCGGTGCGCCCTCCGCAAGCACAAGCCCAACCGCAAGCCCCGGACGCCCTTCACCACGCAGCAGCTCCTCGCCCTGGAGAAAAAATTCCGCGATAAGCAGTACTTGAGCATAGCCGAGAGGGCGGAGTTCTCCAGCTCGCTGCGGCTGACGGAAACTCAAGTCAAGATCTGGTTCCAGAACCGGAGGGCAAAGGCGAAGCGGCTGCAGGAAGCTGAGTTGGAGAAGCTGCGGCTCAGTGCCCGGCCACTGCTGCCGCCGAGTTTCGGGCTGTTTCCCGGGGGCGCGCCGCCACTGGTGTCGCCGTTCCTGGCGGCGATGGCCCACCGGCCCCCCCACTTCGCCTTCCCTGGCGCGCCCGCGCATATTCTCAATATTCCGCAATGACACAGTGAGAGTGAGTGCAATTGTTGATAGATAATGATAAGACTGATTAGTGATTTTTTTACGGTTCTGTTTTGTATAAATGTGTCTTTTTGTTTATGTACAAAGGTTTATTTAATTTTGTTGTATTATACTGTACATAGAGAATGGATATTAAATGTTTGTTTTTAAGTGGTGTTTTTCTTGGGGAAATGGCTTCTCGGAGGTCGTAAAAGCCAATTACCGTAAAAATTCGCGCCGTAAATAAGCGAATTTAAATTCAAGCCAATCGGCTCGTCGATCATTAAAGTTACTTTGATCTAGATCAGTGGAAGAAACAAGGAGGCTGGTAATTAAAGAGGAGAGGCCTTATTGGGAAATCATAAAACACATTTCAGAAAGCAATTTGTATCATTAATTAACAAATTAACATTTAAATTATTAATAGTCCGCATTCTTACCGGCCATAAATTATGGACTGAAGTTGATCTTGTTATTTTACAACGGCAGCAGCGCTGCCGTTTCGAAAACTAATTACTCTACTATAAATCCTCTTTCGAAATTTTTATTTATGGATTTATGAAGTCGAGGTGCGAACTTCATGCCTGCGGGCTTTCTTGTGTTGGAACGGATTAGAAGGATTCCGAAGGTACGTTGCGGACGACGCTATTTAGACACTACGAGCCAGCAAAACGGAATCATTAGTTCTAATGAATATTAATCATATACGCCTTTCAATTTTCGTTTTGGATGATCATACAACTTTATAATAAGACAGCAACAGACTTACGCTGGCATACATCCAACTAAAATAAAATCAGTGCAGTCCTTATTCTAACAAATTTATTGTTTAGCTTAAATTATGTTAACGCGGCAAATTGTTACATTGTCTAGTCACAATTCAGTGGTGACTCGTGACTTTAAAATGTGTCACTTTTGGACCAAATATTTCGAGATCGGTACCATTCTCGAATGATAAATGGTCTTCTAGTTTAAGAGCAGGTAGTGACAATTAACCCGATTTGAAGAAAACAGTAGTGGAAGAGAATCGAAGAAGTAGCTGACGTTAAACAATCGTGATGTAACACGTGATGAATCTTATTTGGACTGAACATTACACTGATAAGTCGAAACAGGGAACATTCTAGATTTTAGAACATCTAGAAATGAAGTGACATCCTATAAAAATTCTATTTCTACAAAGAAATACCAATGTATAGACAATGAGAAATTAAAGCTATGAAAGACGACATACAAAAAAATCAAAAGTTTCACTCAAAAAAGCCTGGAAGACTGGAAACAGAAGTGATTTTTGAGAAGAATTCTGATCAAAGAAAATTTGACGCCAAAAAAGGTTTTGGAAGAAACCCTGCTGATGAATAATCTAAAAGACTCTGGAAAATTGCATCTGAAAAGAATGTCACATTGACAGTGTAAGATCATCAAATATAAGCAGGAAAAAAATTTCAGTTGGATGTCAAATACTATAAAAAATTCTACACCGTCTCTGTTTTCGTTGTAAGCAACTTATTTCCAAATCACACACATGTCTAAAGCCCAATTTCCACAAAGATATTTCATTATAATACCAATAAAAATTCCCCACCCACCCACCCATCTTTAAATTCGTCATCTGTAACAAAAAAACCCTTTTCATAAAATTTTTGTAAACCAAAGCTCCCTATTTACAAAAAAACTGTAGTAATATAACCTATGTTCTTCTATATTCTTATAAGAAGATCCAAATTTTTGAGTGCATCAAGACATTTAATTGTTTTTTTTTTTTTTTAATTAAAATAGAAACTAGTCTTCTTATCGAAAAAATTAAGTTACATACTTTCTTGAATGTTGAGATCCTGAGTTTGTCGAAGCTAAAAATTAACACTTCTGGATTTTTAAACAAGATCAGTGTGAAAACGTGTGTCACTTTTGTCTAACTTTTGACTTAATTTTTCAAAAATTCGTCAAAATTTTATAAATTTTGAAAACTGTTGTTACCGACCGCAAATGCCATAATATATTTAGGTAAACATATTATTGGTACTAAAAAATAAAAGACTTGGTTTAAAATGTTGATTATTTAAAAAATCCTCAAAATTTTCAGTTGGAGATCTAGCACTAAAAAAATTTCTACATCATCTCTGCCCTCGTTGTAAGCACCTTAAATCATACACATCTCTAAAGCTCAACTTCCACAAAGATATTTCATTATAATAATAATAATAAACTTGTAGTAGTATAATGTATGATTTCTTGTATACTCAAATTAGAATAGTCTTCTCAACGAAAAAAATTACGGTAAGTATATATTTTCTTGAATATTGAGATTTGAGGTTGCCGAAACTAAAAAATAACACTCCTGGATTTTCTAAACAAGATCACTGTGAAAAGAAGTGCCACAGACATCTCTAACTTTTTATTTCATTTCTCAAAAATTCTTCAAAATTTTATAATTCGTTAAAACTGTTTGTTGCCATAATATACTTCCATATTTAGATAAACATTGTTGATATCTACTAAAAATTGAACGGCCTAATTTAAAATTTTTTATTAATTATCTCAAAAATCATCAAAATTTTCAGTTGGAAATCAAATAAGTAAAAACAAATCTACACCGTCTGTTTTCGTCGTAGACAACTTGTCCCCAGGTCATACACATCCTAAACCCAAACTTCACAAATATATTTCATTATAATAAAAATAAGAGTTCTCCACCCACCCACCCACCCATTTTTAGTGCGTCGTATATAACAAAAGAAAAACCATTTCCATAAAAAATTTCCTAAACAAAAGTTCTTTATTTACAAAAAAGACTTGTACAGTGTAAATTTCTGGAGATCGTTAGACATTTAAATGTTTTTTTAATAAAATAAAAACTTGTCTTCTCATCGAAAAAATTAAGGTAGGTACATATTTTCTTGGATGCTGATATCCAGAGGTTGTCAAAGCTAAAAAATAACACTTCTGAATTTTCTAAACAAGATCAATATGAAGAAAACATGCGTCACTTTTGTCTAACTTTTACCTTAATTTTTCAAAAATTCGTCAACATTTTATAAATCGTGAAAACTGTTTGTTGTTACGGATCGCAAATGCCATAATATATTTAGATAAACATTGTCGACACAAAAAATTAAAGGTCTGGTTTAAAATTTCGTATTGATTATATCAAGAATTGTCAAAATTTTCAGTTTGAGATCTAGTAGTAAAAAAATTTCTACACCTTCCCTGTCTTCGTCGTACGCAACTTAGTTTCAGATCATACACATCTCTCAAGCTCAACTTCCGCAAAGATATTTCATTATAATAAAAATAAAAGTTCCCCACCCACCCACCCATTTTTAGTGCGTCGGATATAACAAAAAAAACTTCCTTTGTATACAATTTCCTTAAACACAAGCTTTTAATTTACAGAACAAAAATCTCGTAGTAATATAATCTATGATTTCTTATATATTCGAATTAAAATAGTCTTCTCATCAAAAAAAAATAATAATAATAATAATAAGGTAGGTACCTGAATGTTTAGATCTGGTTTTTGAATGTTTAGATCTTGAGGTTGCGGAAGTTAAAAAACAACACTTCTGGGTTTTCAAAACAGGATCACTGTGAAAAGATGTGCCTCAGATACGTCTAATTTTTTATTTTAATTTCCAAAAATTCGTCAAAATTTTATAAATCTTGAAAACTGTTTATTGTTACGGACTGCAAATGCCACAATATATTTAGCAAACATTGTTGACATTAAAAACTGAACGACGTGATTTAAAATTTCTTGTTAATTATCTCAAAAATCGTCAAAATTTTCAGTTGGAAATTAAGTACTAAAAACAAATTTCTACACCGTCTGTTTTCGTAGTAGGCAACTTGTTTCTAGATTATACAGATCTCTAAAACCCAACTTCCACAAAGTTATTTCATTATATTAAAAATAAAAGTTTCCCACCCACCCACCCATTTTTAGTGCGTCGTATGTAACAAAAAAGCTCTTTATTTACAAAAAAAAAACTTGTACATTGTAAATTTATGGAGTTTGTTAGACATTTAAACATTTTTTTAATAAAATAAAAACTAGTCTTCTCATCGAAAAAAATTAAGGTATAGTTTTGGAAATTTTATTCTACCCTATAAAATTTTATTGATGATAACGAGACGGACAATAGTGCAATGGTAAGAAATATTTATGGCTCACACCAGTTCACTCGAATTTGTCTGAGAACATTTAGCAGGTATTTGTAATTATAATATAATGGTTATTTTCGTTCATGAGTAATGATGGTCCCTGTCCGGAGCTGGATTATTCTGCGCTCTAACACCAGGGGATTACCGGCACGCGACAACTTAAGTTGTAAATAACTCTTGCTATTGTATTACTGCCCGCCTCGTTATTGCCAATAAAATTTTATAGGGTAGAATGGAACTTCCAAAACTACAAATTTTCTTGAATGCCGAGATCCTGAGGTTGTCGAAACTAAAAAATAACACTTCTGAATTTTCTAAACAAGATCAATGTGAAAACATGTGTCACTTTTGTTAAACTTTTGAATCAATTTTTAAAAAATTCGTCAAGATTTTATAAATCTTGAAACCTGTTTGTAGTTATGGACCGCAAATGCCATAATATACTTAGATAAACATTGTTGACACTAAAAACTGAACCACCTCGTTTAAAATTTCGTATAATTATCTCAAAAATCGTCAAAATTTTCAGTTGGAAATCAAGTACTAAAAAAAATGTCTATACCGTCTGTCTTCGTAGAAGGCAACTTGTCTCCAGGTCATACACATCCTAAAGGCCAGCTTCCAAAAAGATATTTCATTAAACAAAAATAAAAGTTCCCCACCCACCCACCCATTTTTAGTGCATCGTATATAACAAAAAAAAACCTTTCCATAAAAATTTTCCTAAAGAAAAGTTCTTTATTTATAAAAAAAAACTTGTACATTGTAAATTTGTGGAGCTCGTTAGACATTTAAATATTATTTTAATAAAATTAAAACTAGTCTTCTCATGGAAAATATTAAGGTACATATTTTCTTGAATGTCGAGATTCTAAGGTAAAGCTAAAAAATAACACTTCCGGATTTTCTAAACCAGAACAGTGTAATTTTTTTTGACTTATTTTTTCAAAAATTCGTAAAAATTTTATAAATCTTGAAAACTGTCTGCAAATGCCATAATATATTTAAAT